GGTTAACTCTGTGCTCGTCACAGGATTCCTTAGAGATTTCTAGAGCTTAGGCGAAGATCTGCAACAAGATCTTCTTCATCCTTGGCGTTATAAACCGACTTTACGGTTAAATAAACTTTTCATAGAGTTTCAAACTCGTTCAAGTTCTCCACAACGTTAAATCGTACGTAGAAGACCACGTTCCAGTGAAACAAGACATTCTTGATCGTCAACGAGAAAACCAAACCGGAGACGCGACATAGGTCGAGGAGCACTCAATAACACAAAAAAGCCTTACCGCTTTTCAATGGAAGAACACTCAGAATTAAACAAAGGAGAGAATCTAGGAATATTACTCTTCCCTTTATAATAACAGGAAATCCAGATTGTACACTTGAGATTTAAGAGAATACAAATCATTTTTCCTCTTTCTTTTATTACAAAATTTCACGAACAAACACTCTTGATTTCCAGATCCTTTAAAATAACACCCGACGCCCTATTTATAGGCTTGGTTGTGGTTTTCTTTCTTTGATCAGAGATAAGAAGGGATGCCCAACTCCTATAATGTTTCATTTTAAGATAACGCATCTAAAACAAATACTACAGAAGCAGTTGAATTCAAATCCGAAAGAATCGCAAAAAGGAAACGGACAAAGGAAGCCGATCTGACCGTTTCACGAAGTGCTCGGCTTGGCCAAGCACAAAGCTGGTGCGGCCAGATGGCCCGAGCACAAAATTGTGTTGGCCTGTGGCCGAGCCACTGGTCTGACCGGACTGTTTCGACGCGTCCCGGTCGCCAGAGGCTTTCGTGGTTTTCTAGAGTTCGGTTCGTTCCGTCGTTTGTATGTATCTCATTGTTTCGCCAAGCGGTACGCTTCCTCGATTTGCTTTGCGCATTTCGTGAACGTGCAAATCGTTTTGACGGTGGCTGAGCTAATATTTGGGTTACTTGGCTTGTCGTTTCGATGGCCAGCGAATGCGCGGGTTACTTGAAACTGGCTAATGAGTGCGCGGGCCTATTGGAAATAGCCTGCGAACACACGAGATATCTGGTTCATCATTCCGGTGACCATTGAGTGTACGGGCCACTTGGTTGAATCTTCTCAATTTGGATGACGATGTTTATCGCCTCCTTTTCATCTCGAGCCGTATACGGGAGCTTATAGGCATTTTTGGACGCCTACAGCACGCATGTGTGAATCTAGATTTACTGCAGTGAATCCAGATTCAGTTATGTGAGGTGTATGTTTTTTACCATAAAAATCGTAACTTTTTGCTTTAAAAGGTGAAATCTTTTCATGGTTTAAAATGTTATAGCTTGATGATAGGCCATAACTTTGTGTACGAGTGTAGCTTTTTGTTGTAAAAAGTGAAAATTTTCACCTTTTAGTCTGAAAAGTTTCCTGTTTTTTGAAGAAACCAGTTAAAAAACGAAGACACGCATGTGTGAACCCGGATTCACTGCAGTGAACCCGGATTCACTGCAGTGAACCCGGATTCACTGCAGTGAACCCGGATTCACTGCAGTGAACCCGGATTCAGTTATGTGAGGTGTTTGTTTTTTACCATAAAAATCGTAACCTTTTGCTGTAAAAGATGAAATCTTTTCATGGTTTAAAATTTTATAGCTTGATGATAGTAAGTTTGTTGAATCAAAAACTTTTGCTGTAAAGGGCATCCAATTTAAAATTTTGCTGTAAAGGGTAAAATTGAAGTGAAGTGAATCGATGTTCACTGAACTAAATACAAACTTATATTTTAGCTTCAATATAAGTTATCGATGTTCACTGAACTAAATACAAATTTAGTTTAAGTAAAAGTCATATTTTACATACTCTTGAATTAAATTGGAAATCACAGATTTAGTTTTTTTTTGCAGGGAGTTAATAAACCTATGTGACTAGACACTGGAACAATGAATACGACGGGATGAATCTGATTTCACTTCAGTGAATCTCGATTCACTGAAATGAATCTACTTCAGTGAATCTCGATTCACATCATTGAATCAAGATTCACTGTAGTAAATCTCCGTTTATCCATGCCATCCACGTGCAAACGCAAGTCTTCTGAAGTCTATGAAGAGAACCTATCCCATTAGATCCATTGTTTCACTTAAGATTCATTGTACATTAATTTTATTGAATATCAATTTATATTGTTTATCTGTAACTCTAAAATAGTTGATTTATGTTTGCCCACTATCTGAATTTACCTGTACAGATGTAACATTATAATATTCAATCTAGATTAAATCTCAATTCAGTTTTTGATTCATCAATGGTGAATCTATGTTCATTGATATAATCATTCTTGTTTATTTTTAGATTTAGGCAGCTAAGATGTAAACTCAAGTCATTTCAGTATCGGATTTGGTAAAAAATTTAAAAATTATATTGGACAGTTGTGAAACATTGAAAGGCCATAACTTTGTGTACGAGCGTCGTATTGAGACGATAATTCAAAAAATGCCTCTATCATGCAAAACAGAGGATAATTTGGTTTATTTGGTTTTAGTCAAACCGAATCACAAATTTGACTTCACCGTAAAGATACAAACGAGATAGCGTCATGTTGAGGTTACAGTTATTCAAAATAACTCATAAATTGTCGACAGAATCGAGATCCATCGTTATGAATTTAGATTCAACTAGTTATATTAGAATAAGAGTTGAACATGATAATCCATAAATATACAAACTAAAATAACTTTTGTATTAATCAACAGTTAACGACAAACTTAGATTTGGTAACACTGTTTAAAGATATAGTAACTAATCATCATTTTTTTCTTAGTTTTAAACCCTTTCTTGATCCTTGTTTGACACTAACAAATTCATCATGGTACTGCTGGGCTTTCATTGTGTTCTCTTCAGCCAATTGGTTAATGTGATCAGTCAGATATTGGTAACAGTAGATAGAACTCAATCTCTTGAGCTGATTGAATTGTCGATCCTGTCCATTTTAACAATAAATCAGCAGGATATTCAATGATTAGATAATAAATTTTATTATTATACTGTCAAACAAAGTCTCTCATGGATGAATCTCGATTCACTATAATGAATCGAGATTCACTGAAGTAGTGAATCGAGATTCACTGAAGAGATTGAGTGAATCGAGATTCACTGAAGATTCACTGAAGTGAATCTCGATTCACTTCACTTCAAATAGTCACTGATGCGAAAGAAACTTTATCCTTTCGTATTCATTGTTTCATAGGCATATCTCTTCATAAAACAGGAGCAACAAACAACAAATGAATCTAGATTCACTAGAGTGAATCTAGATTCACTCCAGTGTATTCAGTTTCACTTCAGTAGCAGCACAACAACACAACAGCAGCAACACAGCACAACAAGACCACCAACTTGTGAACAACAATTAAATAAATATTAACTCCAACTTGTGAACAATAACTAAATAAATATTAACTATATATGGCTCTCGATTCACTCCAGCGAATCTAATTTCACTTCATTAGCAGCATAACAGCACAGCAGCAGTAACTCAGCACGAAAGACCACCAAAAGATCAACCTTTCGTTAACAAAACAAAAAAAAAAACAAAAAGAAGAAAATATTTGAACATGGAATGGTTTTACCCCTTCTTGAAGAAGCGGGTTTCTTTCCTCTATTTGTCTTCATCTTGTAAAGAATGTTGTGACTTTTGGAGAGAGAGAGGGAGGGAGGGAGAGAGAGAGAGAGAGAGAGAGAGAGAGAGAGAGAGAGCTATTGTGAGAAGATGAGAGCCAAGTGAGAACACATGAAGAGAGAGCTACGATGAGAAGATGAAGAGAGAGAGAGAGCTAGTGGGAAGTGAAAGGAGGTTGGACTTTTGATAGGAGAGAGAAAAATTCGTCTAGGTTAATTATTTCGTGTGCTTTCAATGTTTACACTAATAAATGGTTCCTATTTTACCCCTATTACATAATAAAAAGCAGCTGATGTGTAGTAAAGTTGTATTTATTTTCAAATCTGCCATTGAAATCAATACCATTGGATTAAATAGATTGGAGGGTTAGGATTGGTTTTTAGTTCTCTAAGTTTTTATTAGAACCTCTCCCTATGTATGTATATGTATGTATATATATATATATATATACATACATACATAGAGAGAGATTTATATATTTGCAGGATGAAAGGAAAATATTCTGCCACCTATTTGTTACTCGTCACATGCCATTGTTCACTTGAACTGATTCATGTAAAGGCAGGAGTGAGGAGTATGTCAGCTTGGGCATGTGCTTATGTTCTGTTGAAGTTAGGTGTAACGGCGGTCATCAGGCTGGTATTGGCGCGGGGAGCGAGGGTATGTTGTGGCTAACTGTCTATGGTGTGCGTAGAGGAGGAGCTACCAAGATCTGTATAAGTCAAGCAATCTTTATGTTGCACACAATCTATTACCCTTTAAAAGAGGGAGTTCATGAAAAACTTTACCCTCCCCAAAATAACCTTCCACCAAATTTAGTTACCAAACGTATCCTCAATTGATAAGCCACTTTACTCTTTTTCATCGGTTACGACCCCAACCCCTCATCTCTCTCCATCTATCTTGGCCTCTCCTTCGCCGTCTTCTTAGGCTTCCTCCCCAAATCCTCCATCACCTACCTCTCCTCTCTCCAATCCCGCAACCGAATCCTCAACCTCAAGCTCTTCCAGGCTAAGGACCAGCTAAAAACCCTAAGGTCGAGGAGGAAGGGGGATTCCAAGGCCAACGCCCGCGTCGTCGAGATCTTCACCAGCCACCGCCACCGTGGCAGCAGGAGGAGCGATGGCTTTTGGATCAGATCGAGTCGACGAACGAGGAGATCGAGGGGTTGAGGGGGAGGGTCGGGGAGCTCAAGAGAGAGGTGAGGGAGGGGGACGAGATGTGGATCTCATGACGGCGAGGAGAGAGGAAGAGGAGGAGCACGAGGAGGTTAGGGTTACGGTTTCGGAGGGGTTAGGGTTTGGGGAGATGAACGAGATGGCGACGGGTTATTACGCAGGGGAGAAGGAGAGGGATTCGAAACGATGGGTGGAGAGAGCTGCCAGCGGGCGGTAGCAGGTAAATAATTTTTCCCTTCACTTTTCCTTTTTTAAGCAATTTATCAATTTTGTTTGTTTTAGAAATTCAGGTATCCTTTATGGGAAAAGAGCTATTAGGAATTTTTGTTATCCTTTTTTTTCTCGTAAATTTTGATTTTATTTTGAAAATTCTTAATGATTAACTAGATTGATTTCATCGAACGAAATGGTGGTGGCTCATTTTCTAATCTTAATTCGATCCGTACTCACAAAATACCACCTTTCTCACTAAAATCGAATAAAGGCGCCGCCATTTATTATCGAACTGTTCGCTGCTCGGCGGCGAACAAGCCCTCGCCGTCCGCTGAGGTCAGGCAATTTCTTATTTCTCAACCTTTGAATTGAATTTACAGGGTATTTTTTTTTGTTCGAATTGGAAAATTAACTAATTTCATTAGGGATTCGGGAGAGCAGTACGCTAGCTTGATTGAGAACTTGGGTAGGTTTAATTTTGAAGGATGTTATTTGTGGTTAGATTAATTAGGAAGATGCTCTTACTAGAATTAAATAATTTGTATATCTGATCCCAAGTTTTAATGAACGGCGGTTTCATTCTTCTTCGTCTTAACTCCTATATACTAAACCCTAGATCTAAGCTTTAGTTATGCTCAATTCACACTATCCCCTTTTAGTTTTTCAGTCCTTTCATTTTTTTTTCTAATAATTTTCCCTATTTCTCCATTTTCTACAGATTCAAGCGACAAGTATTTAAAAAATACGAACAGCAGCTATATCGCGACTATAAAGTAAGTTTAGTTTAGTTTAGTTATTTTATTTTTCAGGTTGTGATTTCGCCTGTGATTTCTTTTATTTTTTTTATATGATTCTGATTTGGTTCAGAATCACAAAGGAGAACGAACCCTTGGATGATTGGAAATTATGCAACCATAGATTCTATTTATTTAGTTGATACGTGCAAAGGAGTTCCCTTGGATGACTGAAAATTATGAATTAATTGCTATATCAATCCTGTTTTGATCAATCTAATATCAATTGTGTAACCAATAGATTGAAGATATGAATATGTTCAATATTAAAAATTTGGTGTTGATGTACATTCATTAAAATTGAAGCCACAATCATGACTTATCTAAGAATTGAAGTCAGTAGATGATCTGGATGTTAGAGTGCAAGTCGGAGAAAAGACAAATGGATTACTGGTTTTTTATTTCTGAATATCTTTTGTAAATTTTAGAAGATCTATTAAGTATTCATTGGGTCAAATCTCATGGATAGCAAATGGCTGCTCATGTTTATTTCAGTCAAAATTAACACTTTTGCTATTTGCTCTGGGGAAATCATCATGCGTGCTAGAAGTTGATCTTAGTTTAATTAAAATCATTTTAATGATTTACTTTCCATAGAAGATTTACCCTTTTATGATCAGCAAAATTTTCAATAATTTTATACTTGAATATTATAGTCTACGTTGCATGGAAATAGGTATAAGTGCAGGTGCAGGTACACATCGCTTCGGCACCCAAAACATCATTTATGTTATTTTAATTTCCTTTTGCATTAAGGTTTTCTACATTCTCTGCAGATTGTCCTTTTGCTTCTGGCTCTTGTAGCAGTTCCATGGATGCTATTTCCGAAACCATTCATCTTAAGGAGGCTTCACAAAGAGGTAGATGATTTGGTTTACAGGGGTTTTTCCAATTCACTACTTTATTGAACAAGTCAGTCTTTCTGTATGTTTTAGGATTAGAAATTGGCAAGAGAAGGAGGGTAAGCAAAGCACTTTAATAAAAAAAATCACATTTACTTTTCATTCATTTTTGTTGCATCAGAATTTTTCATTAAGAAAATAGTTTACAAAATGAGTATATGAGTATAACCAATTTCCGTTGTACACCATCTTGGTGAAACGACAAGTAGAAAGGACGCTTCTTATTTGTTATTGGTTTTGCAGTTCACGTGTCCTGGTCTGACCATTATCCTTTGTGTTTCCACCAAATTTTCACCTTATTTTAAACCTTATAAATTAACCCATAAAGAGATATCACATAGAGCAGGAAAACAACAGCTAATCAGTGAGAATGAGTGTACCAACTGTAAATAAATAATTACCTTCAAAACACTACTTTCCTCACAATTTTATCTATCGGAGCTTGTGCAATCAACTTTATCCTTTCTCCCTATATTCAAACAGGTTCCTAAACATACTAAAGTGAAGAAGCTGATTTACAATTAAAAAAAATTCCAAGTAATTTGATCAGGGACTCCATCACAAGTTGGCATAGATTTAGCGGAGTTGATTAAAGAACATAAGTACTCTCAAGTTCAAGAACTTCGTAAATATCCTTTACATTTCAAAATCAACCAACGAAAACCACAGTACCATTTGCATATTATAAAGAAGTTGTACCCAAAAGAAACCAACCATAACAAGCTTCGTACCTTTAGAATGTAGCTTTGTACCTTTAGAATGTATTTTGGTAAACACATCAACTACCCGCTGTTGACATCCTTTCTTATTAATCATAATTTCCCCCTTCACAATGATTTAACCATGACTATCTAGGTGCACAACAGCCAGCTATAAACATCTGGTAAAGATACGGATTTTTTAGAGAAATGTTTTTAGCATGTGGGACTTTTAATTAAAAAAAAGACCAATTAAGTTATCATAACTTTCTCAAAATTCAATTAGAGTAAAATACCCTCTAAATTGTTGGCATCGCATTCAGAATAAGTTCTTGAGAAAGCTATAGAATCAAGAATATATCTATTTTAGATAAAAGCAAAATGAGTTTTGTTTATTAATTAATCAAAGCACCAATCTAAGTCCATTAGCTAAAATCTTCATAAATCTTAAAACAACAGTTTAATAAGCTTAAAGCTCCAAAGTACATTTGTTTCCCTCGACCAGAGATTATTTGATCTTATTTTAGATGGACTGTACTGAAGTTGACTGCCAATGCTGGCAAGCCTGGAACTAACATCTGTTGAATCTGTCCATTCTTAAATTAGTGGAAGTTTAAACAAAAGCAAACTGAGCTTTGTATAATAATTGATTGATCACCAATCTAAATCTTCTAGCTAAAACCATCATAATCTTTAAAAACAGTTTAATTAACTTAGAGCTCTCAAAGAAAACTTGTTTCTTGTTGTAGAGATAGCTTGTAGATGGATTGTGCTTAAGGTGATTGCCAGTACTGGGAAGCTTGAAACTAAAATCTGGCGAATACGTCTGTGGTTAACACGGTTAGAGTTACTGGAATGTTCCTGGACTGAAGTTACTTTGTTAGTTTGTTTCCTCTGAAGTGTTTCTACAGGATCTTTTGCTTTGGAGAAAACATGACTCTGTATATTTTGATTTTATAGCCTAGGGGTGAAATTAATATTCTACAAGTCACGAAACTGCCTACCATTTATCATTTTATTCTTTTTATCTTTTAATTATTAAAGCACTACACTTTTCAGGATGTTATATATCTTGAACTTGAGAATATCTTGGAAGTGATAATTACACATGAAATACTTACCTGCCATGCTGCAGTGTCCTTATATGCTGCTTTATCCAATGTCACCTAGATTTCAAGGTCGTACTTATGGCATGCTGGGCACATCAGAGATGGATCTGGATGTCGAACCTGATTCTGCTAGACTTAGGCACCACCACGAGGATTTCAACTTCAGTGAAATGTTTGTGCATCAGATGATCCATTCAATTGAATTTGTCTTGGGGGCTGTCTCAAACACTGCATCCTATCTTCGACTTTGGGCTCTGAAGTAAATCATGGTTGGCCAATCACTTTTGCATCTTTATACCCACACTATTAATGTATCTCAGGTTACAAGTTTTCAACATTATCTCTACAAATTTATAGTAATACTAATATTGCTTGTATTGATATTAGATTATTTATTGCTATATTTTCACATATTTAGATTGAATTTAGGAATCTAGAACGGGATCAGGGGGCTCCAGCAAAGGCTTATGCAGGTTGGGGAGCGAAAATGCACCTGATCCTATTGTAAGTTTCTTCTTCTCTTTTTTAAATCATTTTGGATTCCTTTTCATTGTCAGCTTAGTTAAATAATTTATAATTGTGTTTGCCTTCTCTCCAAGGACCCACTGCACATGCTTTAGTAATCTTATATTCTATCTCACTACACCTCTTTAAATAGTCAAATTGAATCATTCTTAATAGTAAAACATTTTCTTGAATTCGTATAGATTAACACGTGGAATGGACTTTGTGACAGAGGCTTTCATCAAAGGTCCTTGCGTCTTGATAGGAATGCCTATCTAGCAATTTAAAACCAGATCTCATTATTCTTTAAGATTTTCACTTTCACGCAATGTTTTTGCTCATTTACAGATACATGCACTGTCAGTTTGGTAATGTATTAAATACACTGCCGAAGATAAGCAGATGCCTTCCTGAGCAAATGACCGTTGCTTAACTTGAGCTTATATAGATATTTGATGTCAAGCATATGATTCTTAGCCTCTTGCATGTTGAAATTGTATATAATATAGTATTATCCTTTATGCAATGTATTTCCAGTATTGGTGGAACTTGTTTCCCATGCTAAGCTACCATGTGCTATTTTAGCCCTTGTCTTAAATGTGCTTATATAAAAGAAATTCATTTTTTAATTTATCTTTGCAATGAAAATAAATATGGTATCATTTTACAGGAAGAACAAAGAGCACATGATCTCTTTAATGCCCTCTGGATTCACGACCTCTTTATGGAAAGAGTCCAAATAATGGAGAGTGGTCATTGTTTTGCCCTAATGAAGCTCAAGGATTGGCTGATTGCTGGGGCAAGGAGTTTAATAAGTTGTACACAAAATATGAGAGAGAGGTAAACCTTCTCTGATTTTAAAAATTGGATCTAATAAGATTTGAGTTTGCACTCAATATATATCTGTTATGATTTCAAGGGTAAGGCCAAGAAGGTTGTTCAAGCTCAGAACCTCTGGTTTGAAGTTCTAAAGCCTCAGATCGAAACTAGAACACCATACAAGCTATATAAGGTATCAAGAAAACATTCATAATCCCTCTTGCGATGTTTTTTATTGCAGATGACATAATAAAGTTCAAGAAAGGCAACTGTACAATGCTCACTATTTTATAATAATATATACAATATGAAATGTATTGTGGGTGATACCATCAAATATATATTGAGGAATTTTGGGTACATTGGTACTTCTTATGGTTTTCGCGCGTATAATAAAATATTGAACCTATCTTTATTTGGGGATACTTTAACTATGTAATCTGATCAAAGTACTTAACAATTTCTACTTTTTATATTTTGTGAAAAATTAAATTATAACTGTTCAAATAGGTATCTTGAGGAATAATCATTGACAATCTTTTGTATTAGGTACATGATAGAAAAAATGTTAAATGTCCTGTTCTGGAGCTTCTTCCATTATATTTCTATATCTGCTTAAATAAATTTGGTTTTAAGATTTTCTATAAGCTTCTCATAAGAACGAAACCAGGTCCTTTGCTTTCCTATCTCTGTTGCAATTTCTTCAACCATGAGGACTTTCCAACCGTTTATAGCTTAACTGACTGACTGATTTTCCTTCTCTTTTTTTAATGAAACTCCAGTACCATTTGGGAAGAGGTCATATAGGAACATCAATGAAAGCAAAGTTATACCACCTGTTGGAGCAAAGATCAAGTTCATGAAGTTATACCACCTGTTGGAGCAAAGATCAAGTTCATGGTACTCTTTTACTTTCAATTTGGGTGCTTGTTATTATGCTTTCATATAACTTATTTCCCCCTTTTGTTTATGTTTTTGTATACGGCATTTTGTTATTCCTTTATGGAGGGGAAGCAGTTACGTCAACATATTCCTTCAAGGTTTATCTCTATTACCTTTAGAGGTGTTATATGAACATTCTGGCAATTTATGGATTTATGATCCCAAGTTATTCTTATTTTGTGTGAGGTATTTGTCCCTATTCTTTAATCATGTCTCTTCGTAAATATGATAGATATGTCATCAAAGTCACCATTCTTGTGTCTAATTATTCTTTCACCAATTATTGTGTTTTGTACGGAAATCATGCTAATTACAAACTCACTTCGTGCTAACTACAGACTGACTTTTGAGAACCTCATTATAGAAAGGTGAAAATATATTGTTAGATTTTTACATCATTATACATGTGGGAAGCCTTCCCGTGTAACAGTTGGATATGATTTTTATTACATAATTGATCATCTCAGGAGTCATGTGTTCAACTCATAGTAGTATGTAGGGTAAAATAATATTTTTCATTTTCACAATAACAGTATTTGAAGTATCAGCCATACCATGGCATGTGAAAGACAGTTCAATAACTAATTGCTTGATGTTATTCGTATAGTTTCATGTTTCAATACTTCATTTTTAACCTTTTACCTCAAACCCTTCTCCATTCCTTGGTCTTAAAACCTTGAGTAATCTATAGATGGTTTCCATGCTTTGTTATGGACAGGAATAAATTGTGGGTGTAAACAAATACGAATAATTAAAATAGATAAACATGATCTATGTCTGATTTCATATTAATCTTTTGACAAATATGGATATCTATTACATGTCCCATTAAATATGGATTAGTATATAGCAGTAATAACTTTTCCTAAATATTATATTATTGATTGTGATTGGTATTTCTCTATATTTCCAGCATTTGGACATAGAATGTCATTGATTGGTTTATTTTTAAGTGACTGAAACATTTCAAATTAATCCTTACATCTTATCAAAGTTAGTAATCTGTTCTACAAATTAAAAACAAAAATAAATAAAAATATGATGTGTAATGTAATATATACAGAAGATGACTTTTCTTGCTCCCTTTAAGTTGCAACTAATCAGAAACACTTTTAATTCCGAAGGAAAAAACTCTTGATTTTCTTGGTTATCATGTTTTTTTTTTTGTTTTTTTAACGATCATATGACACAAAGTTTCTATATCTTCGTCTATTGCATTCTCATACCTAGAATTTCCATTTACTAAATGGAATTAGATGTAATGTTGCAAAGTTGAGTTTTCTATCTTCATTTTCACAGTACAAACTCCTTACATGATCTTCACCAGTCTTTGAACTTATGCACTGAAATATTAGAGTATACTAGCCCCACTGAAACTGTTGTGTGCAACTTGCCTTCAATTGCTTTACCACGATTTGTTAGAGATAAGGTATGAAATAGGTTTTGATGAAATGTCTCCCGTAAACTCTCACCTAATGGTTGATAATCTATTCATTCATTTTTCAGGATGTTCCTATTGAGTCACATCCATCAAAGTTGGTTGGAAGCATAGGATCAAAGAACAGATACTTTGATTTCTATAAACTGGCTGAGGTTTGCTCTTCTGACAGTATTAGGTGCTAAGAATGATTCCCACTAAAACTGTTGTGTGCAACTTGGCTTCAATTGCTTTACCACGATTTGTTAGAGATAAGGTATGAAATAGGTTTTGATGAAATGTCTCCCGTAAACTCTCACCTAATGGTTGATAATCTATTCATTCATTTTTCAGGATGTTCCTATTGAGTCACATCCATCAAAGTTGGTTGGAAGCATAGGATCAAAGAACAGATACTTTGATTTCTATAAACTGGCTGAGGTTTGCTCTTCTGACAGTATTAGGTGCTAAGAATGATTCTGCACCCTCTATGCGGAACTTGAAGCCTATTGCCAACTCTGGTAAGGGAACATGCACAGTAGACATTTGTAACTCTGAGATTCTTTCTGTTCTGGAACCAAGATTGGAGCAAGAGAATTTGATAACATCAGGAAAAAGGAATCTCGAAAAATTTTAATTAAAACATTTGTCTGATGTAAGTTTTCCTTCCATAGATATGCTATATAGATTTGCTATTGCTCACATATCAGTGTAAGATTCTTGCTGATCCTCATTTTGATTTTTCATCATCATTTATGATGCAAATTAATTCTTGGACAAACCTTAAAAGAAAACAATACAAGTGTCATTGGTTAGGTTATTACTTTTAGGATAAGCATTAACCTTGCATGGTAATTGTTTGAATTCTAAGCAACTTTTCATTAGTTTAATTAGGAAGATATGGTTATTTTTGAGCCAAATTCACAAACTTTTGATTTCTTTTGTATAAATTTCAAGATTACAAGGTTTGGAGGTCTATTTCATTATCATCAGGTTGAAGATATGACCTTTCCTATTGCACAGTTTATACAGAAAGATGGATCCTATTTCAACTACTATATGGTGAGGATTTAATGTACTATGTATTTGTGTTTCATCGAAATACTATGTTTCACAAGTGTGACTTTTACTTACTTGCTTTTTCATCAAAATACTATGTATTTGTGTTTCATCAAAATATTATGTTTCATCGAAATACTATGTTTTCAGCATCATAATAATTTTCTTCCATGGGATATCTGATCTAATTTCTAAGCTATTGAAAAAGTCTAGGATTTAGCTAATTTTAATTGATTTGCTATTGTAAGAGGAAATGCTAAGTGATTACCGTCAATTACTTCATGACTAAATGACATTAATAAATTTTAATATCAATTTATTTTAATATCAAGTATCAATTTATTTTAAGTTTGCATATTATTGTTGTACGTGTTTCTGAAGAAACAAATTCATTGATGAGATAGATGCAATTGCTTCCAAGCGAGAAAACCTGCAAAGGGAGATGGAACAACGGATAGTAACACAACATATGACTTGCACGGATGAATAACATCACACTCAGTCTTCTGATGATTCCCAAAATCATCTGAGAAGAAGCTTGATTATGTTCTTGTTATCGGAAAAACAAACAAACAATGCAATTGACCAAGCTTTTAAGGAGATCTGGACGGTTTGATCGTGAGATTTCTTTGGGTAAACCTGATGAAAAAACCACTGCCAGAGATCCTGTCAGTTCTTACTTGAAAATGTAAATGTGTGTTTTGGAGAGAGTGGAGTCAATGAGATATAGTTTTATATAATACTTATGTCCTCTTGAACTTTTAAGTGTTTCATAAAATTACAAGCTGAGTATTGCATGATTGCAAGGTTAGGTGATCAATGGATTCCTATTGTTCAATTGCATTGCAAATGAGCATGGTTTTGGTTGGGATATTCACATGAGTTGGAAAGAGAAAAAAATGAAAATATGTTGTTTGTCTAACTTTGTTTTGGATGAATCCTCAGGTACAAGTTCATGTGAAAATAAACTAAACAATATGATGCTTTTTGTAATATGTCATGGTATCTGTAGAATTTGATTTTTGTTCAAATAGAGTATTACCTTATGTAGAGTATACAATTAAGTAATTAACTATGAATTTAATTTATCTACAGGGAAGTTCATATTTTTATCAATCTATTTCCAAGGGTTAACTTCATGACCGCTATAATTCATCAATCTAAAAGGAAACACAAAGTTTAGAATATTTTGCTTGGAATTACATCCACATCTTTAAACATTACTTTTATATATATTCTTGTTATTGTATTTGATTGATCAATCAACTTGTAGATACAACCACTCCAATATCGCATAATTTATCCTAAAATATAAATGTATTATTCAAACATTTTTAATTTTTAGCTTATGTGTACATTCATTAAATTTATAACAAATCTTTCAATAAATAAAATTATAATTAAAAATAATATTAAAATTTTTACCACGTGCATTGCACGTGCAAGCTAACTAGTTAATCTAAAAATACTACTTATCATATTTATTATCATAATAATTCAAAACCAACCCTTTTTACAAAATAAATTCCTTTAAAGTTCTTTAATACCATTCAACAACAAATCCATACATAATATTACAATATTCATACTACAACATAATTAAATCACAGTCTAATCTATGCATATAATTCATAATAGATCTAAATATGAAATGACGAGTCAAGAGAAGCGGGATCTTGCCTCGGGTTTTTGTTGAACGTATCGACGTTGACGTGCGAGACTACGACGAGCGTCGGTGTTGGGGCGCTGGCGTGGGCTGTCGGCGTGCGGATCTAGGCCGAGGGGGTCGAACGTGGGACTGCGGGGGTTGTCGGAGGCTGAGGGAGCAGCAGCGAGTGGATATAATATAATATATAATATATATATATATATATATATATCATATATATATATAATATATATATATATATATATTATATATATATATAGATATATATATATAATATATATATATATATATAAGAGAGAGAGAGAGAGAGAGAGAGAGAAGAGAGAGAGAGAGAAGAGAAGAGAGAGAGAGAGAGAGAGAGAAATGGAGAAACTTGGTAGGCCAAGTTGCTCCAAAAACTTGGTAGTGATGTGTTAATCTTGTCCACTACATCTACATTGGAGTTGGTGAAAGGTGGTTTAAGGCTCTATCTTCGAGGTGTGATGTAGGGACAAGAGATTAGACCACATGACACTACGCTTGTTGCTTAAGCAACTTGGTACCAAGGTTCTGCCCATTTCTCTCATATATATATAATATATATATATATATATATATATATATATATATATAATATATAATATATATATAATTATATATATATATATTATATATATATATAACTGGGGAAGCGCTGGTAGCGTTCCTTATGTGCGTTGGAGGGCGTGTTTTGAAAAAATTCCACTTCGCTCTCTCTCTGCTCGTGACCCAACTCCTTAGCGAAAACCTCATGTTTGTTAAAAAAAATCCCGCGCGGTTTTGAAATAAACATCCCCTCGTGACCTCAACCCCCCCTCTCTCTCATTCCATCCTCTACGCCCTAAATTGGAGGGAAGAAAATGGAAGAAAATATTTTTTAGCTGGAAATAGGGTGAGGAGCCCTGCATATATATATATATATATATATATATATATATATATATATATAATAATAATATATATATATATATATATATATATACTATTAAGACATATCTAGCAACGTTAACGGCGATACGATGAGGAGAAGCTACGATTCCTTTAAAGACAAGGTTGTTGCGGCAACTCCATAAACACCAACAGAAGCACGCAAGAATAACTCTCCAGATAGTAGATAAATCCTGACTGAAAGGTGAACTGAATTTAAAAGAGATCACATATCATCTAGATTTTGAGGCCAAACTGCTAGGGGAACATGAGGAAGAAGAGGTGACCATGCTAAAGAGGAGAAAGCACATTTAATTAGGGGTGGGCAAAAACCGAAACAAACCGGTTCAACCGAAAAAACCGCCCGAAAAAACGGATCGGTTAACCGAACCGAATTAAATGGATGAGAAGAAGTCTCTAAACCGCCCGAACCGAATTAAACCGGTCTGGATCCGGTTTGAACCCCTGAACCGCCCAAAAAAAACCGAACCGAATTCTTAAACAAAAAGTAGCTGCGAGCCTTGGGTGTGAAGAAAATTTATGGCTGAATGTTTAGCATTTAAGAATTGTGGGGTGGAGTTTATACTAACATATATTTGAGTACGCTGATATAGTTAAGTGAGATTTCCGTAAATCAATACAAGATGTTGAGGTTGAAGGATAAATTTAGTGTTTTGGTCAAATTTCAGTGATAACATGAATACAGCTTGCTGGTGCTGGATATCAAATTAACCTATAGTATAGGCTGTCAAGGATATAAGATAATTCTTGATGAGAAAAAGGCAGCTAAAAATTAACGAAAATCATCAAAAGGTGTGTGTGCCTGCCAAACATTGTTCTTTCTCTAAAAAAGGCTACATAATTACATGGTCCTCCTAGTGTATTAAGCTAGTTATATTCAGATCATACAATTTGATTAAGTGACTTAGTACAGTTTTGATTGTTTCTTTTCAGTTTTGATTGCTTCTTTTCAGTTTTGGATATAACTAAAACTTACCCAGATTTCTGTGAAATGGAGTTAATTCGGTTCAAAACCGAAACCGAACCGAACCGAACCGAATTTCGGTTGGGCCGAATATTCGGGTGAAGGGGAAAAAATCTGGATCTGGATGAGAGTTTTGAGAATCCGAAAAATTCGGATTGGATGTGGATTGGGCTTAAAACCGAACCGAACCGAATACGCCCAGCCCTACATTTAATGAACAAATGATCGTGAGATTCTATAGCCTCAGTGCAGAGAGAGCAACTGGGGCTACCTGACCATCCTTTAGACACCAAATTTTCCCTTGTATTCCATCCTTTGGACATGAAAATCATTGTCAGCTGCCCACTTGGAGTATGGTAACAGTCACGTCAGTGGTCAAATCCCACGAATCAAGGGAGAAAGCATGGCGCTCCTCACCTAACAAGAATAGGGCGGCTGACAGGACCCTCTAAGTGGTCACATCCCACAGCTAGGACGGCTGGCTCCCTCACCCCTACTAATGGTCAAATCCCACAAATCAATGGGTGACCCATGCCATCCCTTGCCTATTTAAAGCCATTTTCAGCCAACGTGAAAGAGGTTGATTCGTTGCTGCTTGCTTGGCTGACTAATATTCCAAAGGTTGAACATTGGCTCATTTGCTAAAGGCTCCCTCATTTGAAGAGACTCGTAGATTGCACGTGCAATGGACGTGGTAATTTTTTAAATTTATTATTTTATTATTGATTCATTTCATTAAGATTTATTTAATTTAAACCATGTATCAAACATATTGATAGAATTTAAAAATTCAAAAGGATTGAATATTGAAATTATATTTATGCATAAACCGGGTGATAATAGATTGTTTGCATCCTTAACAATAGTAAATAATGAATAATTTTATAAAAGAATTTTATTTGATATACAACATTGAGTTTTAATCAACCAATGCTACCTATATACAGATGACAATAGACAACCTATTTAATCATAATCATCCAATATAAATGCTATTAAAATAGTAGCATCAATTTTTTTTTTCTTTAGTCCTATTTATTTCTATCTCCTCAAAATAATTAATAGTCATGCAACAAACAATAGAGATACTATAAATATCTCTCTTTATCATTGGATATTTTAAGCTTTAATGGTTCCAAATTTCTTTCTAGCGGTAAGCTACGTATATCTATTACGAGCGTGAGATTTTCTGATTACATGTATATGTTCATCGAATCAAAGTAAATTGCAGGATTTTAAAAAATTGCGAAGATAGTATATATCAAGAATTTTTTAGAAGGCAAAGAACCAAAGAATCATACTCTTAAAACATACTCTTAAAACATCAATTCTATCTTTGATAAAATCAATTGTAGATGAAACCAAAGGCGGAAAACCATGAGACTATAACTAAAAGAAACAGATTTGTCTTTACAGATATGGATCATCTTTAATTGATATTTCCTATAGAGCTCACTTCAGATTGGGCTCCAATAAGTTTTTTATTAGAATGAAATTCAGATGTCGCATAGATCCACTGAAGCTGACTTATCACAGGCTAAAAACAATGACATATAGAATTATTGATTCACCAAAGCCTCTTTTGAATCATTTGCTACCCGTGTTTTTAGTAAGATGCCTGCATTTACGGCTTGTCTCGATGAACAGCGACGAGAAGGGCTGCTAACCAACAAATTGTTCTTCATTCTTTACCATCTAAATTAAAGTTTTCAAGTACAAAATTTAGTAAATGCTAGTCTGGGAAAGGTATTTTTGGCAGTAGTTAATAAAAATAAAGATATTATAAACACATTTTATCTATGTTGGGCCTAAGAACAAATGACCATGTTAATAAAACACAATAACTGAGTGGCACAGAAGCACTTGGTCAGGAAATAAATAAAACATGTACTAGAGCAAGCATGAAGGAGATAAATTTTTTAATAAAAAAGAAAGTGAAACAGGATGTATTTTATGACATAAACAGATGTAACAAACTTAACACCAGACTCCCAAAGGAATAGTTAGCAAAATCAACTATCAGGTTGCCTATTGATGTTACCAAGAACTGGTGCCAACCCAGAGCTAGATCCTGCTCCAGAACCCTATATGGAAGATAAAAAATGAGCAAGGTGTTGCTATGATAAAGAAAAAGAAATCAAAACAAATGAAAACCTATCTGCAAGAAATTAATAAGCCTATATATGCAAGATTTACAAGAGGTCGTGGAGGAGTGCTAGCAATTTATGATTGGTAATACTTCAATATGGTCCAATCAAATACATATTCAAATAGAAATCCTATAAATTAAGATTCAACATCATTCAACATCTTGCTTGAGAATTACAGATATCTAAACCTGTCATCAGCACAGAATTCCTCGTCAACATGAACAGTTAGAATAGCTTATCCTCGCGAATAAAAAGGCCACATAATATTCTTTTTAAGTTATGAATAATCAGGTTTGTTGTCAAACCGTAGTGAACGGTAGTAGTGGAAGTTGGATGCAAATTATGTAGGATATTCACGACATAATACCTGAAGATAATATGTCAATGTTGTCATGATTAAAAAAATATATCTATTTAGTCATTATTAAGAAAAGTATGAAAAAATGTCGTCAAGGCTCCCAACTTCATTATGTGAAATAGATCTTACCTCAATAGAGGTGGTAACTTCCGAGCTCCCAACTTCATTATGTGAAATAGATCTTACCTCAATAGAGGTGGTAACTTCCGAGTAGGTGGCCAAATGTTAGACTAAAATGGGTTTTAACTGATCTTACCTCAATAGAGGTGGTAACTTCCGAGTAGGTGGCCAAATGTTAGACTAAAATGGGTTTTAACTCGATCTAGATGAAGCCAATGGCACACAACATGGACTACATTGATTATGAGCTAAAACTAACTCTGCTGTGCTACATCTTGAGGTCAACCGGGATATAATAGGTTTAACCCACTCATGATTCAATTATGTTTATTTCGTAACCAAATTTAGTCCAACAAAATTCACAGACTATAGAGGATATACATATTGTTTACTGTTTTTAAAACAGTTTACATTTTTCAAGTAGAAGTCAAACAGCTCAGACATATCAATCTGTCGTCTTTTATCATCAACCAATAATGAAGATAAGATTTGGTTTTCTTTAACTAATATTATCCCCACATGAATTCAAAAACTCAACAGTTCATTTCTAGAGGGGGAAAAGATGGACATTGTCAATGAATAGGGGATGAAAATCTACAAGATCCAGGCACAAGCAATTAGGACTTCTACTTATGATTAATAACATCCATGCAACTTCTTCCTTCCATTATATTTAATTAGATATATTCACAAGAAGAAAGAATCCAATTTATCAAAATTTTTAGAACTATAGAATAAATAAATAAAGACAAAGGTTATATACTACATGTTTGAAAACGGAGTTAAGGAGACATACTATATGTCAACTCTACCACAAAGTGAGAATCTTCAGGTCCAAAGCCAAGGAACGCATTTGAGTATTTCTCTTCTGGAACATCCATTTTTCTCAGTAGGGTCATACCAAAACACTCAGTATAAAATCTTAAAACACAAAAAAGAGTAAATTAGCCACACAACAATGAAAATTAACAATCAATAAGGATATATTTCAGAAAAAGAATATATACTTTATGGTCCTACCCAAGTCACCAACACGGTACACAACATGCAAGAATCTTCGCTTGTCTTTCTGAACCCATTCAAGCACGGATTCACTTGGAACAGCGATTTCAGTTTGCGCTCCAGATGCCATATCTAAGGATATACAATGGATCAATTTACAGTTAATGATAGAGATTGATCATACTATCAATTAAAGTATAAGCTACCAAACTGCATTCACTACTTGTACAGTTAATGATAGAGATTGATCATACTATCAATTAAAGTATAAGCTACCAAACTGCATTCACTACTTGTTCAAAAAGAAACTTTTAACTCAGATCCAATTAAAGTATAAGCTACCAAACTGCATTCACTACTTGTTCAAAAAGAAACTTTTAACTCAGATCCATTCTAGCTATATTGAATAAAAGCCCGCATGGAAGAATACTATCATTGCCATCACAATTCCAAACCAGTAGTGTGAAAATAACGCATAAATTCCATAGCTTACAGTGTATTAGAACATAATTCCCTCAACATAGAATATTAAGACGTGAACAGTGGACCAGTGTTCACCATTCAAAATGCTAACAACTTGATATTCAAGTTTATGTCACTAAAATACATTAGAATGAATAATGAAAAAAATCACTTGTTTAAAAAGAAACTTGGACATTAGAATGAATAATGAAAAAGTCGATACTGGAAACAGACAACCTGACTGTCACTATTCTAACTAGTTTTGAAAAAATCACCCATAAATACCTAAATTGATAATACTATCGTGGTTTTCACGTCATCATATGACACTGCCACGAGATGCATCCGTGAATTTCGGCAAAAAAAAATCAGTGCAGCTGACCTCATAAATTTAACAGTCAATTTCCTTTTGCTCAAAAGAATACATCTCAAACACATTATTCTAGTATTTTAACCCTAAGGTAAATGGTAGGAAAAGCTACATCCATAATTAACTTTAATCATATCATCATCGAGTTTTATATAATCATCAATTTCCGGTATAATATTTGCATACGTGTTTTTACGAGTCTATTGCTATAGTTTTCACATCAGCAGTAAACTTTGAAAATTAAAAAGGAGGTGGTCAAAGTGTCCCTTGTCTTCCAACACCTTAGGGGGCATTTCCATGAATCATGTATATTTTAGGGGGATTTGCTCTTATTTCCCCTAAACATTATTCAATCAAAACCAACAAAGAACTACGGAGGGCTGAACTAAATCGCTCAGCAGTTAGATAATCAGTCTAAATAAACAAATATCATGATTTATTTCTCCTAAGAAAACAAAAAAAAATGATGCAAAAGAATAAACCTCATCAATTCTGTAAGATTCATTGAGCAAAGCATGATGAATTATGCTCACCAAGATAACACTTTAAACATGGTACTAAAGCTCCCCAATCTCAATTCTTTTAGACCCAAATACTTAAATTTCATATAAAAATTAGATGAAAAATAGACAAAATGAAGAAAAAAATCTTACCCAAATAGTATACGAAGAAGAACCCCTAGAGAGAGAGAGAGGGTCTACAGTGCCGGCTTGTATAAAAATGTGGCGTATAAATAGAGTAGAAAGAGGAAAGGGGCGTGATTTATGGGATTTGGGTAAAGAAACGCGACCTCTGAAGATGGATTTATTTGTGTTTCAATTCAATTGGGACATGTTAAGAGAGTAGAGTGAGGATATATATAGGGATTTGGATTTGGTCCACCATAATGAATACTAATCATAATTTATAGAAAATATAATAGGAAGATGGATAGTCATATTATTTGAAGAGGTTGAGAGTTATGGGAGGTTTAAGAGGTTTTATTATGTGATAGGAAAGTATAGTCATATTATTTGAAGAGGTTGAGAGTTATGGGAGGTTTAAGAGGTTTTATTATGTGATAGGAAAGGGTTTAATCATATGGAAGATGAATAAGCAATTATGGGAGGTTTAAGAGGTTTTATTATGTGATAGGAAAGGGTTTAATCATATGGAAGATGAATAAGCAAAGCTTTAAATTGCTATTTAAATTATAGAGTACTACATCATTAATTAATAGTAAAGGGTTTATTAACGAAAACAAAAGTGTACCTTTGTTAAGTTAATGAAATGAAAGATGAGGATAATTTTGTTATATTTACAATAGTTGAAGGGTAATTTGGGGTAGAAAGTTTTTC